TTCAAGTCTGCTCAGAATCCCCAGTATAACATCTAGCATGTGAGTAAGTGTTGGGGTCACCTCCCCTACAAAATGACCCATGACTGCTGTTTTTTTTTTTGTGGCATGCTCTGCAAAAAGTCTGGGATAGTCAGTAGTGCCAGCAGGCACTTCCCTCGCACCTCAAGGTCCCGGGCAAGCTCAAAGAGCAGTGCGATGGCTTCCCCAGCAGCAATCCGCAGGTTCACACTTTCACTGGACAAGAGCTTCGGCAGCCGGGGCAGCTGCCTAAGGAAATGGCAAGATAAGCTTCATGTATAGCTTGAGGGTTCCTTCTTCACAATTCCCTCCCACTCCCCCTACCTGTCAAGGATGTGGCTGATGTGGGTACCAGGACAGATGGTGAGCAGCAATGCCCAGGCCTGCAGGGCAGCACAGAGCAGACCATGTAGGCTGGCAGGGACCAGAGCAGCAGTGGAGCCACTAGTGCCACAAGACCAGCTGAAAATACCTTCCAAGCAGGTCAAGCAAGAGACCAGGTCCTAGGAGCACAGGGAAACAGGAGTGGTTTATAGACGGACCTATTGAGTCTAGTCACTATACCACCCATGTCCAAAGTCCACCTACCTGGACATCTGTGGCAGCCACATAGCAGCCCAAACCAAGAGCAGAAGCACACTGTTGGGAAGAGGACAAAGCTAGGCTACCATGGGTCAACATCAGGAACATCATACGAGGCTCACTCTCTTAGAGTAGGGAGACAGGTAGAACCCAGCCCCCTGCTCTGGGATGAGGGACCATGGGGCATGGAGATACTCACATGGAGCCGGGCAGTGGGGCTTGCTGCACTGTCACTGAGCACCGAGGTTAGCAGCGGCTGCAGGCTATGGAACAGCTCCTCGCCCTTGGGTCCAGGGCCCAACTGCACACAGAGCAGGCCCAGCACAGCAGCAGCCAGGGCCTGTTCTTCACCCTTCCCTACAGGATGCTTTCCAGTTAGCGCACGCAGCAAGTGCCAACACCTGCCTAGCCAGGGTTCCCCAAGTGTCCAGGACTTGACCTTTCTTAAGGCACTTTTCCAGGGCATCTGCCAGCGTGAGGCTGCGTTCCAGCAGGAAGTCAGGGAGCAGGTGGGAGGCCAAGGCCAGGCGCAGGCTCTCAAGAGCTCCTTGCCGGGTCTTGGCACTAGGAGGTAGATAGAGAAAGGGTTCGTGTGGGCGATTGTGCCCTTGGTTCCATTTGCCATGGGCTGATTAGGGTAGAAGCTGGCCAGCAGCCAGAGGTACCTCTTGTCGGTGAGGCAGTCCACGCAGTCCTTCAGCTTTTCCTCCAGGTTTTCCTGTTGGCTCTGCTCATCCACAGCTTCCCCACCTGCAAAGCCAGCTGGTCATCACTGAATCCTGCCCTTGTCCAGTGGAGCCCTCACTGAGTTCCCCGTTAATCTTGAACTTGCGCTCACCCAGGCAGTCCTCCGCAGTGGTACTGAGCAGGCTGGGACAGTCACTGGTAGTACTCCGGGCCTCACTGGCTGCTTCATCCTCACTGGAACCTGAGTCGGCTTGGGTACTGCTCCTGGCACCTGGGCAACATAAGACTGCTACCTGACCAGCCTCCACTGGCGAGGGATGACTCAGGGTACCCTGTTTGACTTCATGAATACTATCCCATCTCAGAGATGAGCAAACCATGGCTAGGTTAAGCAGCACAGGGGCTGACACATGGGACTTGAATTAGGAAGCAGGAAAATGGGAACACAGCTGCTAGGCATACTCAGGGACAACCTGGAAGATTTGGTGAGTGGGGACCCCAGGAGGGCACAGCCTGCTTTAAGGAGAGCAGAGGGACTGGGTAAGTCCCACTCAGGCCTGTGACCCTGTCTAGATTATGCTCAAAAGCAAGCAATGTAAAGGCTAGTGCTCAAGTTATAGTATTAGACAGACCAAGGGGTTTAAACTGAGCCAAGGTCTTGTGCTCTCCATTGGGTACACCCTGCCCAGTTGTCCCTCCTTTAAAGCACAGCAGAAACAGCACCACCTCTCAGGTGTAATGGCTCTGCCGCAGGCCACCACACTCACTAAGCTATCTATCAACTCTGGAAGCAGAAGCCCAGCTCCAAGTGGGTATGCTGGGTGCTTTGTGCTTCAAATACAGTTTTCTGAGCTTCCTTTGGTCCACTCAGGGCCATTAACATCAGACAGACACAATGGCTCCTCCTAGCCTTGGAAGACCAGAAGACACTCTTCACCATGTAAACATTTGAAAAAGCAGCAAACATAAGGGGCTCTCAAAGTGCCAGTAGGGTGGGAACATTCCTGTGTGTGAATTCTCTGTAGGGCCAAGAACTGACTTTGAGATGAGCAGCTACTGGAGCAGAGCCCTGGACAGCTTCTGATCTAATGGCAGTCCTTACATCTTAGGGACTATTAACATTAGTTGCCTGTTGGAAAAAGTTCAGCCCACACATTGACTTCTGTTCACCTCTACTCTTACATATATATACTACTTGTCAGAACAGCCCAGACTTCCACATTTGTTGGCTCTACTGTGATCCCCTTAGCTGCCAGGCCTTTGCACAACAGGCTCTCTGCCTGGGGCTCTTTACCTTCTCAGGTCTCACCCAGAAGCTCCTCTCATAGGGCCTCCCGTAATTCTGTCAGACACCACTCAGGAACTGGTTTTAGTACTAGCCCCTGTGAAAATGTCATTACACTACTAAATGCCCCCAGACCCAAGCCACATTGTGGTGGCAGTCAGATCAAAACCGTGCTTGGCAGGCATCTATCTCAGCAGAATTAGCTTGTTTACCACAACAGGACATGCTTCTGGTTGAGGCTGATAAGGAGTCTCAAGATGGCCCCAGGCTCTTGGATGTCCACCCAGTCTCCAGCCTAGTTGGTAAGGCCTTCATTCTGTACAGAACAGAGGAGGCCTCTCTGCTAAACTTCCCTGTGCAGTCTATCAAATGCACTAGTATTTGGCAAAGGGGCTGGCTTCACGCTTTTGTCTTGTGTGGTTGTCCACCCCCGTGGCGATGGGAAAACCTAGGTCCTTAAATGCTGGCCAAATCACCGCTGCGGGCGCGGGATTTCGAAAAACAGCTGGCAATGAGCTCAAGTTGAGCGCACACGTGGCCAATGCCTGCTGGGGCACGTGCGAGCATTAGCAGAGTTCCGGGAGGTTGCACTGGGCTGATCCCGGAAGAGTCACCAACCCAAGACCCTCGGTGTCATCCAAGGGGAACCACAAAACGTCCCCGCTCACTCCTGAACAATTCTACCGGAGCCCCCCGACTCACCTCCTCCACGGCGCTGACCGCCCTTGCGGAGCGCATTGCCCTTACGAGCACGAGGCATTCCTGGAACTAGGAGTCGGGGACACGGTAAGGGGGCGCGGGGTCAGGGACCGGGAGGGCGGGGACTCCAAACCAGCGAAACGCTGGCCGGTGCGCTGAGTTGAGACTGGGGAAGACGACAGGAGCCACACGCCGCGCGCGCCACCATCTTCGTGAGGCGCCCCGCCCTGTCAAACGGGTCGCTGGGAAGGTGAGTTCCCCGCCACCCGGCTCAGTTCCACATCCACGCGGCCGAAACTACTATCCCCAGGCGTCTGCGCACAGAGATTAGGGCGGCCGGAGTTGAGCGCAGTGCACGACGGGAGTTGTAGTCCTCTCTGGAGGCACACAAGCCTACGCTGCTCCGGCTAAACTATTTACCCACAATGCCCTGCGTACTCTCTTTGCCCCTCCTGCCCCTCCTCTCCCTACTCCGGTCCCCGCGGCGCCTGGGTTCATAGTTAACTCGTTAGTTTCTCTCCTTGCTGAAAGGCTAGGTCCTTGTAACAAGGCACCTGCGTTGAGGCCAGGGTTTGACACTTGGTAGAATAGTGAGAACAGACAAACCAAAGGTAATGAAAGAGTGACTTTATGGATGAGAGTACAGATAATGGCTTAGCATTTAACAGACTAGCTTAATTTGGGGGGGTGGGAGGGGGAGGAGCAGGGGCTTATGCGAGCATGCGTATGTGTATGCGTGTGTGTTGGGAGGAATGTAGGGGTTGTCTGTCTGCCCCTTAGACAGGACTTCTCTGTAGATGCACTGAGGATAGGAACAGAGCCCTAGGCTGGCTGCAACCTTAAATGTCTGGAACTGACTCCCTGGGACTGCTTTCTTGTCTTAAGTCAGATGATCTCAGAGGGCTCTGAGTCTGCTTTTATGTTTTTATTAGGCCCTATATATTCCTCAGGAATTCTGAGGGAAGGTGTGTTGGTTGAAGTAGTCTATGTACTTGGGAAAGTTCTATTAGTTAAACAAAGCATAAACGGGAATTCCCTAGGCCTGGGAAAGTGGCAACAGGGACAAAAGCCAAGGGCAGGAACTCCTGACTTTATGTTGCTTCCTTAGGCTCAGGTTTAGGTTCCTGGCAGGTAGGGCCAGCCCAACCCAAGTAACAACGGCATCTGAAGGACTTCCAAGCTCCAAGGCTACCATCTGGCTTCAGATGCAGAAAGGCTTTCATTTGTCCTGGGTCTCTCCGGGCACAGCGACCGTGGCCATGGCATAGTTGGTGACTGCAGGCCATGGCAGCCTTTGTCACATTGATCACATAGGGGCCTAAAGTGCTCACTAGGTAGTCGTGGAGATGCCAGCATTTCTCCTAAGGAGAGAAGAGATGTTTCATTGCTCCTTCTCTGTGACTTGGCATGGCTTCTCCCTTAACTTATGACTCCAGCGTGTATGTGCATGATGAAGGGGCAATGCTCACCTCAGAGCTGGAGAAACTCAGGTCTCCCCAGAGCACCACTCCAGCTGCACCCAGGGCTGCACTCACACCAACAGTCCTCACCAGATCATCCTGGAGGCAAAGAACTTTTAAGCCAAAGCTGGACTGGCCAGATCCGTCAGAGCCCGACTTCACCATGGTACTGTTTAGTTTACTTCTATGATTGATTCTGCCTCTAGAGTAGGGCTCTTTTGACAGAGCCTCTAAGTGACTTCCCAAGACCTTCAGAGAATGACTGTCCTTAGACCAGATACCCAAGGGCTGGACTCTGGCTAACCCACTGAGATCTCCCAGCACACAGCCATGCCTTCCTACTCCAGGATGGGATCTTTTGTTTATTTTGTTGTTTTTGAGGCAGGGTCTCATTATATAGCTCCAGCTATCCTAGAACTTAATCTGTAGACCAGGCTGGCCTCGAACTCAGAGATCTGCCTCCTGAGTGCTGGGATTAAAGGCGTGTGCCACCACTGCCCAGCAGGCTAGGATCTTTTTTAAACCCCTAGATCATGACTACCTTCCCACGTCCCTTAGGCAAGGTCTTCTCTTCAGGCCTTTCTAGGACAGGGCTGTGTCTCTGGACTCAGACCCCTAAACCTCAGCATTTACTTACCAGAGACAAGAATTTTCCAGAGCTCCGATGTGTCAGGCGAGCATAGGCCAGAACAGGTAAAGGATGTGTATGGCCAACAAGGGCTACACGGAAGGCCTCCTCCAGGCGGTGTCGGACGAAGGCCTGATGGTAGGCAGCTGGCAGTCTGGGTGGGAGGTAGATGCTTGGAAAGATAGCTTTTGAGGCAGCCCAGAGCCAATGCAGTTGGTTGTTTCTGGTAATGGTGGCCGCATGGCAGTGGCCTGTATAGTTGGAAGCCATATTGTGCCAGCCATTGCCACAGGCTGGGTATCGATAAAAGCCCCAGAGCCCATGTGGGCGAAGTGTCTGGCCCAGCTGCAGTGTGTATTCCATCAGTGCACGGGCAGCCTGCTCGAAGCCAGTATGGGCTTTGTGGAGCTGTTCCTGAGGGTCCAAATCAGGGAACACCTGCTGTGCCCAAGCCCAGGAGGCTGCCTGGTAGACTTGGCGATGGGGGCCCCAGTTCCCAGACCAAAGTGGATACCACTCTTCCCAGTCCAGCACTGCCAAGCCAGCAAAGCTAGGCTCTAGGCTATGGAGGATCTGGTGGGCAGCTTGTGCCAAGTGGCGGTCTAGTGACACAGCCTGAGGAATACCCCCATTGTGGGCCGTGCCCCTAGGTCCAAAATAAGGATAAAGACCAAACTGGTTCTTGTAGAAGATGGTGATGTTTTGGCCATGAAAATGCTGGCCATGGTTGGCTATGATGCTGAGGGCACTGAGTGGAAGGTGCACACCAAAGTGGGCCTCACATCTTGCTGAGGGTGCGTTCCACAGCACAGAAAAGGGGCGCTCAGGAACCCGCAGCAAAGACTGGCCACACACGAAGCATAGGGCTACCCCCACCACCAGGGTTAGGCCTAGCTGCATGGTCATGCCACAAAGATGGAAACCTGCAGGAGAGAGGGGGGATGAGCTTAGAGTCCATGGCCAAGGCCATGCCTTTTGCATAGCAAGGAAAGCTGGGAAAGCTACCCAAGTTCTTCCCTTCAGGGAAAGGGGCAGGGCTGGGCGTTAAACATGGCTCCCAATTGGTCATACCCCAAGCATCCTGGGCTGCTCCCCTCCGGTGTTCTCCATCTCTGGTAAGGCACCATCATGTTCTCTGAGGCCTCCCCAACTCCATGGCTGTCACAAGTCCCCTTCCTTCCCCTGCCCATCTTGTCTCTGCCTCAAGAACACTTAGTGCTTGCCTTCTTGCTTCCCTGGCTTAATTCCCATTCAGCACTCAGGTCTCTAACATTACCTATCTCCCAGACGCTGGAGGAAGTGAGGGCACTTGGGCTCCCAGCATGAGACCTGCTACACACACACCCCAACACTGTCTATAGATTCCTCACTGTCTACTAAAGTACAGGGCTTGACACATAGTAAGTACTTGGTGAATGGTCATGAGTGAGTGACCTGGGCCTGGAAGAGGAGGAAGAACAAAGGACAGACATTACCTCATCAATGGCTCTTGGGCCAAGTTGGATAGTAGGGCTTCTGCAGGGATAGGGGATCTGGGAAGGGGGTTTAGCAAATAAATTGTCACAGCCATACCTAATGGAAGCCTTTATTCAGCCACACTTACAGCTCTGAGCCGAAGCCCTGAAGCCACCTCCTGGCCCATTGGTACCCAGGAAACATACACAGGCTAAGGTTGCCCCCAAGGGCTAGGGGGCTAAAGTATGGCCAGTGGGCTGAGGCTGGGACTGTTCTGGGCAATTCAATGTCCCAGAAAGACAGTGCCTAGCCTTCAGATGTCTTTTTCCATCCAGAATATAGGGCATCCCTTCAGATCTCTGTGTCGTGTCTCTAGCAGGCTTTGAGGAGGCGGCCCTGGTGAAGGAGGGGGTGAGGTGGTCAGAGACTGGGGTAGGGGAGGAGGTGGTGGTGGCAATTGGGGTCCCTTGGAGCGCCTTGGGACAGCTTGGGCAGCTAGGACAGATCCCTTGCAGGGTTGCTGGGGGCTGCGTGTCTTAGAAAAGCTACGTAGTAGGGTATTGGGCAGCCGACGGTTGCTGAAGACCAAACCCTGCACAGGTTCGCCCAGGTGGTAGCCCAGATGGGCATAGAAGTACAACTGATCATGAGTAGTGAGGTGCAGCCGGCGGAAGCCCCGGGCTTGGGCAAAAGCCTCTAAGCCCTCCATGAGGCGGCGGCCAAAGCCACGGCCCCTCAGAGCCCGGGCTACCACCACTGTCTCCACTAAGAGGCTGTGGGGCTGGTCTAACACCCGTGATAAGCGGGCATGGCCAACCACAATAGGGGACGCTCCGGGTGTGGGATGAGGACTCAGCAGCATCAAGCAGAGGGGGAAGGCATCTGAGGACTGGCCCAGGGAGTGCAGTCGGGAGGCGCGACTGCGGGGCCACTGGTCATTGATGAGGTCAGCACAAGCACCCAGGAGCTCCGGTCGGCAGTGCACAGGCTCCAGGGTCAACTCAGCCGGGTTGGGGGCTGGGGTCTCCTCTGCCTGGTGTTCAGGATCCAGAGTAAACTCAGCTGGGCCAGGACTGAGGGTCATCTCTGGGTGGCATGTGGAATCCAGGGTCAGCTCAGCTATCCTGGGACTCAGTGACAGCTCTGGCTGGAGTGCAGGATCCAGGGTTAGCTTGGTCAGGTTGAATCTCAGGGTCAATTCTGGCTGGCATGCAGGATCTAGAGTCAGCTTTGCTGGGCTGGTACTCAGGATCACCTCCATCCGGTGCACGGGGGTCTAAGGTAGGGGTCAGCTTGGCTGGGCCAGGGCTCAGAGGCAGCTCTTGCCTATAGGTAGGATCCAGGCTCAGCTGAGCCAGGCAGGAAGCCAAGGTCACTTCCTATTAGGTTTCAGGTACCTCAATGCCAGGCTGGAGGGTTAGGCCACAGTCTCCAGGCAGTGGCACCTACCTCCTCATACAAGGTTCACCTCCTGCGGATAACAGCCATGCTAGGCTGTGTCAGGTAGACGGGGCTGGGGCAGGGAAGAGGACTGATGGAAGGGGGCATCCATCTGGGAACTGGGGATGGTGTGCTTCAGCTTGTCCTCCATGCACTGGAAAGTATAGCTGTCCTACCCCAACACTGGAGGAAGCCTGAGGGTGGAGGCTGTGCTAGAACCCAGAAGTTCTGGCTACAAATGCTGTAAGTGCCGTTTACAACAGCTCACCTGGCCAGGCTAACCAGCCTAGCCCACTTGCTGGCTACCTTTTGCTTTTGTTTGGTCCCCCCCCCCCCCGCCCCCAGCTCTGTCTCTCTCCAAGGTATGTAGTCTACGCTTGCCTCAAAGTAGTGATCCAACTGTCTAAGTCCTAGGGTTACAGGCCTCAGCCATCACCATGCCGAGCAGCCTGTCTTATCTTTAGTAGTCCATGACTGTAGCTGGCTAGCCTTGGCAGGGGTGAGCCAGACATCGTACCTCTCATCTGCTTCCACTTGAGTTTTCTTTCTCAGAAGACCACTCCCAGGAGCTGCTGTTCCTCCTCCCTACATGCCAGCTCTCTAGCTCTGAGCTTTCTCAGCTGCCCCAGCCATGCCTGCTATTAAGTGGATCCTGGGACCCAGGCATAACACCCAGACAGGCTCAGCCTCCCCCCACACCCACTGCCTTCCTTTCCTGCAGAACAGAGCTTATGTCCCTCCTCTCCAATTCTGTCCAGCTGAGGACACTGGGTACAGACCCAACTGTCCCTATGTTTAGTACCTGATAGTATCAGCATGGAGCTTTTGCAAGCCTGCTTGCCTCTGGCCTGGGTTTCAACAGTTACCCTGATAAGGACCATGGCTTCGCAGGGCGTTGGTGGAGCACGCCTTTAATCCCAGCCTTTAATCCCATCACTCGGGAGACAGATGCAGGCGGATCACTGTGAGTTCGAGGCCAGCCTGGTCTCCAAAGCGAGTGCCAGGATAGGCTCCAAAGCTAAAAAAAAAAAAAAAAAAAAAAAAAAAAAAAAAAAAAAAGAGGACCCCATAGCTTCCTTCCTCAATCTACAGGTGTCCAACGGCCACCAGGCTGGGGACCCAGGCCTCCATGCCTAAAACCTCATTGTTTACCCACCTTATTTTAGGTTCTGCTGGAAGGAGGGGCTATGTTGGGGGATTTCTTGCAGTGGGTCTGGAAAGAGGGGCTATGTTGGGGGATTTCTTGCAGTGGGTGGGCAGTTGAGTCCCTCTATACTCATTTGTTCCATCAAGTGCCCCCTGACTCCTTCCCAATTCTCCCCAAGCCCGAGGACAGGCGGCTCTCACCCCCTCACACAAATCCCACACGCTGGGCTTTAAATGTAAGCCCCTTACCTGCATCAGTCAGCTCAGAAGAAGCAGCATCCCCTCCCAGCTGCTCCCAGGCTGCTAAACAAGGTCTGGAAGGAGGAACCTCAGGGTCCGCCCAAAGCCCCAGGGTTCCCCATACTGGCTTAACCCCTTCATTGCTTAACCCCTACCCACCACTGTAGGTAGAGCGAAGCTCCGGGTAGTCAGACAGGGTCTGCAGCTACCCCTTATGGGACACAAGGGCATGGATCTTTTGGGAGTGGGGGTTTTGAAAGCTTGAATATGGGTGGGTGTGGCTCAGCATGCTCTTAGAGGGAAGGGCCAAGGTTGGTAAGAATTGAGGGGCGACACGGTGACTTGGGGACCACAGACGCGGGGAGGATACATGGGCAATGTGGGAGAAGTGAAGGTGATACTGACATGTTAAGGCCGAGTTCCGAGATGGTCCGCGTCCAGCCTGCGCACGGTTTGGTATCTCGGTGTCTCTGGCTCGGATTCTTCGGTCTGCCTGTGCTGGTCCCAGCAGTCTTCGGAGGCGACGGCACACTTCCTCCTAAGTCCTCCGTGCCCGGAATGTCACCACCTAGACCCCCCGCCCTTGGTTCTGAACGTCACAACAGAACTAAAGCAGGCCCATTCGGTGCCCTGGCTGCTTCGCTTCCGGCGGCACTAGGCCTAGAGCTTCCTGCCGATGGCCCCGCCTCCTCTTGGCCCTGCCCCCTGCAGGCCCTGCCTCTGACTGCTAGCAGCTTGCCTGGGTTTGACTTTTCCTGCGCCTCTCACCGCCCCAGGCTCAAAGAAATGGAGTTTCGTTTTGGCCCGCTCTGGTAGCATCTCCAGTCCTAGTGCATCCGTGGAAACTTCCTTTTGATCATGGGAAGCAGCGGTCTTTAGACAACATACTTGGGTGAAAGAAACGAGTCTTTCCAGTGCTCTCTGGATTGAGACCTGCCTATTTTAGGAGCTAATTAAACAGCTAAGTAAAATATGACAGCTTTGTTTGCTGGGTTGCGCTGTGCTAGTATCTCTCAGCAGATTCAGGGATCATGTAGAGTGGTGTTATTGTGTTTTCCCAGATCACATAGGGCACCATCAACACACAGTAGGTACGCAAGGTTCTGTTTGTTTGTTTTGTTTTGAGACAGTCTCTCTGTGTAGTCCTGGTTGTCCTGCAGGTCAGGATGTAGACCAGGACAGCCTTGAACTCACAGAGAGACTCCTGCCTCTGCCTCCGTGTGCTGGGATTACAGGTGTCCGCCATCATTCCTGCTTGTCTCTTCTTGCTGGGAAACATTGGACAAAAAGTACTCAACCTCAGTGGCTAAGGAATATAGCTTAGTGGTAGAGCATTTGCCTAGCATACGTGAGGTCCCAAGTTCAATTTCCAGCACAGCAAAAAATAAGTAAATAAAAAGAATTCACTTGGGCCAGGCGTTGCGGGTTCCAGGACAGGCTCAGAAGCAATCCAGAGAAATCCTGTCTCGAAAATAAAAACAAACAAACAAACAAAAAAACAAACCAGCCGGGCGTTGGTGGCACACGCCTTTAATCCCAACACTCGGGAGGCAGAGGCAGGCTGATCTCTGTGAGTTTGAAGCCAGCCTGGTCTACAGAGCTAGTTCCAGGACAGGCTCCGAAGCAATCCAGAGAAACCCTGTCTCGAAAATAAAAACAAAAAAACAAACAAAAAACCAAACTAGCTGGGCGTTGGTGGCACATGCCTTTAATCCCAGCACTCGGGAGGCAGAGGCAGGTGGATCTCTGTGAGTTCGAGGCCAGCCTGGTCTACAGAGCTAGTTCCAGGACAGGCTCCAAAACAATACAGAGAAACCCTGTCTTGAAAAACAACAACAACAACAAAACAAAACAAAACAACAACAACAACAAAAAAAAAACTAAACCAAACAAACAAAGTATTCACTCTCCGTGTATGTCTTTCTTGAATTGTGAAGAGTGAGTTCACTTTTGTGCTTACTTAGCGCAAGGCTTGGCATAGAGCAGACATTAAGACAAATGTCAGCTTTTGTCACTGCTGACTCATAGATTCTGAAGGACTTGCCTATGATCCTTATAGGCACAGAATTGATAGTGCCTGCCCTTAATTCTGATTCACTCTGTGACTGTCCCTGTGAGTGTGCCTGTGTGCATATGACTGTGACAGTGGTTGAGCATGCTCCTGACTGTGACTTGTGTGCGTGTGACTGTGTCTGAGGAAGTCATAGGTAGGCCCAGGGTGTGTTAGTTGTTCAGTGTGTGCAGTCTGGTTCAGCTAATCACTATATACCCTGCTTCTCGCACCACTTCCCATACCATCCACTGTAGCATCGACATTTGAATTTCATAGCCATCTGTGCCTGATCCTTAAGTGAGAGGGTACCCTTGAGGCTGGGGGGCCGGCCATCATGTGTTATCTGAATGGAAAAACTGGCAGGGTTGAGGGTGAGCAGAGCCTCAGGATAACTGGGACGGCGGGCACAGCGACCGTGGCCGGAACATAGAGCTTCGCTGCAGAGAAGAGCTGCACTGGTCACGTTCAGGATGAAAGGCCCAAGTGTGGAATCCATATACTCTTTAATGGTCTGGCAGGATTCCTGAGTGTAAGTGAACACACCCTTGTATGAGCACACTTAGTCCTTACTTACCCCTTACAGGTAAGCGGTACTTACCTTTGCTTAGCCAGGACTTCAAGGGGTACAAAGAGTCGGCCAGTTTCTCCTCATCCCTATCCCTCCTCCCAGGCCTCAACTTACCTTGGTTGTGGTATTTTCTGAGCTCACCCAGACCACCACTCCTGCTGCTCCCTGAGCGGCACTCTCCCCAATGCTGTGCTCCAGCTCCTCCTGGGAAGGAGATTGCATAGTTCTGTGGATGCCATTGTCCTGCCTACCTGTGTTAACTGCTTCACATCACCGGATGGGACAAATAATCTGTAACCTTTACGGTTTTAATCTAGGCAAACCTGGCCCTGTCTCTCACCACCTGCACATGGCTGGTGTATGTACCCTGGATCTTTTTTATTTGTTTTTGTTTTTTGAGTCAGGGTTTCTCTGTGTAGCTTTGTAGACCAGGCTGGCCTTGATTCGTGTGCCTCTGCCTCCTGACTGTACACTCAGGAAAGGCTCCACCCACTTCTGTCCTCTCTTTGCCACTGTTTCTCTGGAGGGCAGACAAGACCTTTTCCTGCCCCCCTTTTTTTCCTTTGTCCTGTCTCTGTGTCTCTTTACCTTATTTTCTTACCTCCGCCTTAATAAAACTTGCAATATGAGTCATGTCTACAGGTCTCTGTTTCCCCATCCACCCACCGTCCAGTCCATCACCTGCCCCAGGACGGAGATCCTCTCGGTCCCAGCCCAGGACCAGGGACCTGCCACCTGTGATTCCAACCCATTATTCTTTATTCCTAACACTCACCTGAGGCTGCTTTAGTGTTTTGTTGTTGTTTTGTTTTGGGTTTTTTTTTTTTTGGTTGTTTTGTTTTGTTTTCGAGACAGGGTTTCTCTCTACTATTTTGGAAACTGTCCTGGAACTCACTCTGTAGATCAGGCTGGTCTCAAACTCACAGAGATCACTTGCCTCTGCCTCCCGGGTGCTGGGATTAAAGGTGAGCACCACCACTACCCAGCAAGGCTGCTCTAGTGTTGATGGTCATGGATAAACATGTTCTCTGTCTAGCCTGTAATTAGACAGGAACTAATTTTTCTATTAAATTCTGAGTCACCCAAGTTCACACAGAACTTGGCACAAAGTAGATGCCCCGTGTATGTGGGAATGAACAAAGTACTGGGTTATTTAAGTCAGAAGGAAAGCATTTGTACAAGACCCTGAGTTTGACTCCCAAAACCCCCCCTCACACCAAAAAAAAAAAAAAAAAGATAGTAGTACCCTGAAGCTATGAGGACTCAATAGTTGGACCTATTGCCTCATTACCTAACAAGGAAGGCTGACAAGGTAGATAAGGTCACAGAGGACTCACCAGGGGCAGGAGATGATTTGTCATTTCATAGAAGATCTGTACATAGGGCAGGATGGGCACTTTGGGGTCTCTGGAAGCTGTAGCTACACGGAATGCCTCTTGCACTCGGTGTCGAACATAGAGCTGTGCCTTCCCTGTTGTGCCCATCAGTGCTGCAGGCAAGTAGACACTGGGATACAGGGCATAGCTCTGGTTCCACAACCAATCTAGCTGGTCGTTCTGGTCACGGATGTTTAGTGAGCACTGGCCTGTGTAGTTGGGACTTAGAAAGTTGTGGTTGTAGCAGTCAGGGAAGCCATAGTAGCCCCAGAGGCCATGAGGACGCAGTATCTGCCCCAGCTGGAGGGTGCCTGCCATCCAGGCCTGTGCAGCTTCCTGGAACTGGTCCTGGGCTACTGCCTCCACTAAAGTTTCTGGCCAGTCAGGGTGCTCTGCCTGAACCAGTGCCACTGAGCGCTGTCGATAAATGTCCTTGCTGTCCCAGTTGAAGGCCCATCGTGGGCGCCATGCCTCCCAATCAATGACTGCCAGTCCTGAGAAGTCAGGTTCAGGCATGACAGCCTTGATGTCCTGGAATGTGCAAGCGAGGTGGGTAACCAGGCTGGCATTCTGGGGCAGGCCACCAAATATGGGTTCCCCAGTGGATGTGTAGTAGGGGTAGGTGCCCAACTGCCAGCTGTAGAAAATAGTCACGTTAGGGCCTTGGAAGCTCTGCTCCTTGTTGGCAATCACATCAAACACGCTGACATCCACATCCACTCCATAATTCTTCAGGCACCAGTAAGTGTCTGCATTCCAAATAGTGATGAATGGCTTGTTGGGTACCGTGGAATCTCTGGAGCCTTGGGCCAAGTCGAGCAAGGTCAGGAAGAGAGTATAGACGTAAAGTAGGTGGGCTGCAGTGGCATGGGGTGGGTCTGGGGAAACCTGGCCAAGGGAAGCAGAGTTCAAGGTATATATCAAACTTTCTGAGCCCTGATTGAAGTATGGTTCCTCAGAATCTTGTCCCTGCTGTGATTTTAGTTGAACATTGATCTGCAGGGCTCAGCGAGGTCAGAGAGCAGAGGAGAGGCTCGCAGAGGAGCATTGCCACAAAAGGTACAAGTGAGTCTCCTCTGTGGCCAGGACCCTGCCATCTGCTTCCCCCAAGCTTTGTCTTGGCCTCATCTTACCCACCCTTTTCCCCCAAGGGCCAGAGGAAGTGTCACATTTGTTCTGAAAGAGGAGCTGAGCCTCAGCCCCAGGCTGACCTGGTGAGTAAGGGAGGCCATTACGTTTGTTTCTTCCACCAGAAATCCTGGCAGCCGTTGGAAAGAGGGACGCTCAAGCAACCAAGAACCCAGCCCTGGAAACCCGCCAGCTGCCCACTTGTCCCTGCTGACCTCAGGACTGAAGGGCTTCATTCTCCAGATTTGCTGGCCATGCTGTGGAAGCGCGAGCATGGCTTGACTGAATTATGTCCCACAAACTGGCCCTAGTGACAGCAACTCTGAGAAGCTGCTGCTGTGGCTGCTGCAGCTGCAGCTTCGGGGAAATTCTGAGCTTTTGTAGTCACTCCACCCAATTTACAGGCTGGTCTTGGCACAGGGTGGGACTGGGGCGAGACTAGCTACAGCCCCTCCCACTCAGGCAGCACTTGGGGAGGGCTTTGTGTCCTTCCTGGGGCTGCAGGCAGACATAACCAACAGGTCAAGCGAATGTGTGTGGTGCTGCAGTGTGGTCCCGGAGGGCTTTATATTAGAGTATCTTCTCCACACCACTGTGGCTGTGACATTTCAGGCTCTAGGCATTTTTGTGTTGTGAGTGCCTTCCTTATTAAAACAAGTGTTTTTGTTTTATTCCTCTATCCCTCCCCCCCACCCCTCTCTGTGCAGTGCTGGGAATAGGACCCAAAGCTTCATGCTTGCTAGCCAAATGCTCCATCACTGAGCTATTCCTAGCCCTTCAAAAAGGCATTTTAAAATATAAGAAGGCCTAGTGTGATAGCCCAGCCAGTAGAAACACCTGTAGACTAGCCTGATGACCTGAGTTCAATTCCTGGGACACACTTGGTAGAACTAGTGTGTCCAGACATAACCAGTCAATTAAATGTGTGATCCCTGAGGACTATGTGCTTATAGAGTGCTTTCTCTACACCACTGTGACAAGTGGTGTCTTCTGATGCTACCTGAACACCATGGCACACACATGCCCACATGTAAGTACAAATAAATGTAAAATGCTGATTAAAAAAAACAAAAAACAAAAACAAGCCGGGCATTGGTGGCGCATGCCTTTAATCCCAGCACTCGGGAGGCAGAGGCAGGTGGATCTCTGTGAGTTCGAGACCAGCCTGGTCTACAAGATCTAGTTCCAGGACAGCCTCCAAAGCCACAGAGAAAAACCCTGTCTCGAAAAACAAAAAAAAAAAAACAAAAAAAAACAAAAAACAAAACAAAAAAAAAAACAGTGGAGAGCACTAGAGAAATACACTCCAAATTGCCTTTACACCACATACGCATACATATAATACACTTATATGTACACAAGCCAAACAAAACATTTTTGTGGGTTCCTAGAAGTATGGTGGCTCTAAGCCCTGTCTACATACCATGCCTAATGGGTAACCTGTCTGTTTCTGGGAGGTTGCGTATTCATGAAGTTGAGGTGTGTCATCACCCTTTGTATAATCTGGGTCAGGGATTGTGTCTTTGTGAAGCTCTAGGTGGTGACTGGGCTCTGCCCTAATTCGCAGGGGTTTATACATGCAAGTGTGGGAATTCAGTGCCTGGGACCTTGTGTCAGAGCGCCTGTATTTGCATGGGAACGGGAATGGGCAGGGGTCTATTGTGAGTACATGGGTGTGATGCAGGGTGCTCAGGCCCAGGCTTGCCTGCAAGGGCTGGGAAAGTAAGGGAGGAGAGGACATGGCCCTACCCACGGTGAAATGCTGTCTGGGCCGCAGCTGTGCTGGTCCTGAGCACTGGCATTCATAGTAGGGCTACCGTATGGGTCTGGTGTTTCTTCTTGGGCATGCTTAGGGTCTTTGAACAATCCCATCTTCCTACCCTGACCCTTCTCCTACCCCTCACGGCAGTTCTGGTTATCTTTGGTGTGGCTTGACTTTTTCTAAGGAAGTGTGAACACTTCTATTCATCCCAGATAGGGTCCTGACAACAGACCAGAGATGATTCTGTCCAAGTCTAGTGTGGTGAATCAATGAGTGTTTTTTGTTTTTTTTTTTTTTTTGGTTTGCTTTTTGGCTTCATTACAGGAGGAACATGAAGGGCTACTTACAGAGGCAGCATGGGTGACAAAGGCAGCTGCATCATCAAAAGATTCACCCTAGCACGGGGAACAACACACAAAAGCTGTTTTCCTCGGAACAGCTTGCCAACTTGCAGGTAGTGTTGCTCTCCAGCAATAATTTAGTGCTTTTTAAGTTTTGGATGGGGGCTCATGAATCTTGTAGCTTTCTGATGTATGTGTGTGTGTGTATTCTTTTGATTTATTTTTTCTTTTTTGAGACAGGGTTTCTGTCTGTAGCCTTGCCTGACCTGGAACTCACCCCCCCCCCCCCCCCCCCCGTCTGTCTGTCTATCTATATAATTTTTTCTCTTGGAGAGTGGGTCAGTGGTTAAGAACACTTGCTGCTCTTCCAAAGGACTGGAATTCTCTTCTTAGCACCCATCCTTGTGTGTTGGAAAGCACAGGTGTGGAGGAGACAGCACAGTTTCCCTAGCCTTTGCCCTCCTTTATTGAATTCCATTATTTTTCCTCTTCTTTTTTTTTTTGGTTGGGGGGGTTTCCAGACAGGGTTTCTCTGTGGCTTTGGAGGCTGTCCTGGAACTAGGTCTTGTAAATCAGGCTGGTCTTTAACTCAGAGTGATCCGCCTGCCTCTGCCTCCCGAGTGCTGGGATTAAAGGTGTGCGCCACCACTGCCTAGCTTCCTCTTTAAGATTTTTAAAATTATTAAATCTGGTGTGGTGGAACATGCCTGTAATCCCAGGCGAGTCATCACCAACACTCTAGTGGGTCTGAGGGAAGAATGATGAAGGTTAACACCTGTCTGAGGCAGGCCTAATAAAGCAGCTCAGAGTTGCTCCAACTACCCTGGCTGCTATTTCTCTCTTCTGGAACTTCCATTAGTCAGTTTGTCCCATGGGTGGGAGATACACACATGGTGCTGGTTATCAACCCCAGCTTTCACACATGCTAGGCAAGCGCTCTGTCACTGAGCATACACACACACACACACACACACACACACACACACACACACACACACACACACAATTTATTATTCCTGATCTGGCTCCAAAGCTGACCTTTGAGCATGACCCTTCTTCCCAGATCAGGATAGTTGCTAATAGTTCCATCATGCACCCACAGTGACAGGGACTGACGCTAAAGATTCACATGTCCCTCCCAGACCCGAGAGAAGGCTGTGACTCAGATGGCAAGAGGGACATGTGACAGGAGCCCACTGCCCTTGGGAGCAGAAATGCCCTTGTCTAGGAACATCCCGGAAGATCAGGCACCACTTCCCCTTTCTCCGAGGGTGGTTGAGGTAAGAAAGTTGGCCTTGGCCCAGCCTGGGATATTGGGAAAGGTGGCAGATACACAGCTAGTTCTAATAGTCACACAGCGGTGGGAACCCTACCCTCAGCACAATTGCTGAGCGGGCAGCTCTGCCTTCCTAGGCCCCAGTGAGCACACAGCCGAGGGGGTCAGAGCTGAGCTTAACCTCAGGGACAACCCTGGGCTCCCTTGCACACTCTAGCCCGGAAGCAGAAAAACCAAGCACAGAAGTTGTTTTATATTTAATTTACAAAAGAGACCCCCAAAATTATAAACTATCCAGGAGCAGGGGAGTAGTCAGGCCTTCCCTGGCCTCGCTGTATACACCTCCTTCTTCTCCAGCAAGATGAGCCGCTTCTCAGGGGATTTTTCTCTCCCCCTTAGAACAGGGGGGCGACAGCTGGTATGGATGCCTCCTAGGCACCCTGGGGGATCTACCAAGCCAAGATTCATTTGTCTACCCCCAACACGCTCTTCATGCCCAGATCCTTGTGCCAGAGGCCAACTGGACTGACATCCCAGGTGGGGAGATCCCCTTATACGGTCCAGGTAAGGATCATAGCTACCAAAGCCAGCAGACTGAGGAGGTGGGGCCCAGCCCAGGCTCTGCTGGCACTTCCAGCTGCCCGCTTATGGTCCCATTGGCATTGCTCGCCACCCCAGCCTAAGTAGCATTGGCAGCGAAAGTGCGTCTGCAGGTAGTTGAGGTCGTCATTGCTGAGCTTCCCCTCAGGTCGAAGCTGGGGTTCACTAGGTGTACGGCCAGGCACTAGGCGGAAGCTGCTGGCACTGAGGTGCAGGAAGGTATTGGAGTTGGGGTTGCGGCGTACACAGCGCCCATGGCCATTGCACTGGGTCCAACTGCAGTATTGGGTGGCCCAGGACACATTGACTACGTAGGGGACCAGCCGTGGGGGCCCAGCCACTGTGTTAGGTAGTTCTTGAGGTACTGGCAGGTCTCCTGGAGGAAAAGGCCAAGGTTAGCAGGTGAGCATCCAATGTTAGCTGCTTCAGCCCAAAGCTCTGATAGAAACCATCTACACTATGGTGAGAGCAGCTCTCTCACTTGGCAGTGGCGGAGTTGGAATCCTGGACTAGGCAAGTGCTCTACTGAAACCTCATCCTTGGCACACTTATTTATATTACATATATATATATATATATATACATATCAGATACACAGTTCCTGAGCCTTTACAGTCCGTCCCTAGTGAGAAGTGGGGAGGAGACAGACTGGAACCCAGCTGTGCAGATGAGGGTTGAGGAAGGGAGGAACTCCAGCTGTTCAGGACAGCGTTTCCTCTTCCTGGGAACAGGGTGGGGGTGCCCTTCTCTATTGGATTCAGGGACAAAGCCTCCATGCTCAGGAGACAGACAAGCTAGACTCAGTGTGTATATCCAGGTGAGGGTGGGAGCCAAAGTGTAAATTCCCCCCAGTTATGGCTGGCTGGGAGGTCTCCCTTACCATACTTGAAGCATACACTGAGTCGCCCCAGAAAATGACACCAGCTGAGCCCAGAGCCGCACTCTCACCGATGGTAGAGATGAGGTCCACCTGTGTGGGAAGGGATGATTACTGATACTGAGGAAGATTAACACCAGACAGGAGATGAGGGACAAACCTGTTCTAACCTGTTGACCATAGTGCAGCCCTCCCCATATGCCTCCAGGCAGGGAGGGGCTGCTTTGCTTTCTGTGTTTACGCCCATTTCCACCCCACTTTGGACTTTTGTCACCCACAAAGTCAAGGGCACACATTCTGCCTCCAAAGTTGGGATGACTGGCTTTAACTGCGTGCACTTCTCATGGCCTCTCTAGAGGCTCTGGGCTAATTCGTAGCATCTCTGGGCCCCCAGTGTTATCTACAGGATGGGGATGACCTCACCATTCCAAAGATTAAGAGACATGGAATCGGCACTAACCTACAGTTCTTTTGGTCCCCGATAACCCAAGCATTCGGGGTTCCTGGAGGAAGGAAGAAGGCAAGGCCCTGAAACACATACCTGACTAAGTCCCGTGAGTCCCCGTGTGTATGTGGGGCGTGTGAAGACATACACAGGGAGGGCGTGGTTCGCGTGGTGGGTGTGAGCCACACGAAGGGCCTCCTGAACACGGAAACTGACAAAGTTGCGGCTGTGTGTGGAGGAAGCCAGTGTCTCATCCAGGTACACAGAGGGAAAGAGAGCCGTACTCTCAGCCCAGAGCCAGGCCAGCTGGTCATTGCGCGCCACTTCCACGTCAGGGCAGCGGCCCGTGTAGCTCTCCCAGTTCTGCACATAGTCGTGATTATAGCAGTCAGGAAAGAGGTAGAAGCCCCAGAGGTGCTGAGGTCTGACTGCCTTGACATAACGGAGTGTATTCAACATGAACTGCCGAGCAGCAAACTCAAACTCAAGCTGTGCCTGTTTCACTATTCGGTCTGATGGCCAGTCAGGGTGTCGACTGGCCACCAGCTGGCGCGAAGACTGTCGGTACACATCCTTCTCCTGCCAGTTTCGCACCCATACGGGCCTCCATTCCTCCCAGTCAATGACCGCCAGCCCCCCAGGCTCCTGGGTGTGAATGTAGCGCTCCACAGATTCCTTCAGCATGGGCAGGTGTGCACAGAGGCTACCGTTCTGAGGCACACCGCCGTGCACAGACATCCCAGCTGCATCAAAACGTGGGTACAGGCCTAGGCGGTCGTAGTAGAAGGTGGTGATATTCTGGTTGACAAAACCCTCGTTGGGTGAGGCCTCCACATCGAAGGCCCTAAGGTCCAGTGGCACTTTGTGGCGTGGGGCACATTCTTGGGTGGGCACATTCCATGCTACCACAAAGGGTCGGCCAGTGAAGATGGGTGGCACTGTGGGCTTAAGTTCCTCGGCCCATGCTACCTCCAGCGCTAGGGCCAGTGTGATGATGGGACCCAGTCCTGCCCGCATGCTGGGGGCTACAGGAAGTGTCACCTGCCTGGTAGCAGCTCAGGAACTGAAGGAAGTGTGGGGAGAGAACAAATGAGTCTAGAGAATTCCAGAGATGTGCACCTCAATCCCTTCTACACTCCAAAACCCACATCACGCTCCTGCCAAGGCTGTAAGGGGTTTGAGGGAGAGAGGGCTAGTGAATCAGGGTAGAGATCTTAGGGACTCTACCAAAACCACAGAGTTCTTTCTGGAGCTGCCTGTGGCTGGGCAACAATCTCCTTTAGGTCTGTGTCCCTTCTGAAAACGAGACGGATTACGCTACAGACTCGGCCAGAGTCACCTACACGCCTATATACCATACAGTCCAGGGTTTTAGAACACCCCCAACCCAAGCTCCACCCTACAGCTCCCCTCCGGCCCCCAAGAACTCTTGACTCAGCGAAGGGACAGCATTTGGGCACAACGCATACAGAAGCTGAGAAGCTGTTACGAACACTGCAGAGGAACTGGTATCTGGGCAACATGCTCCAAGCAGAAAAGTGAGGCTGTCAGGACTTCATCTCGGGCACCGACACTGTCCTTGGCTTGGAGTAGGCGCCCCGGGGACAAAGAGGCAGCGGACTCGCGGCGGTGCTCGCCGACCTGCCCTTCCCACCACACAGCCACCGAGAATCTGTGCGAGCCCTCGCGACCGCCCTACACCCTCACCTCCTAGCATAAGCGGGGGGTATTCCTCCTGGTCTTTGTGCGGGACCCCGCCCCCGCCCCGCACGTGGGGCCAGAGTTCACCCGGGTGGGGGTGGGGTTCCTGGGTCATTTATGAAGGCGCCCCTAGAGACTCAGAGCCCAGCTCACAGGGAGAGAGTCACCAGGCTTGCAACGCCCGCCCTCACCTCGCACCAGGCGCCACCAGGACCCACGCCAGGGCCGCCGCCATCCTGGTACCAGCCAGCCTGCTCCGGCCCTTCGCCCAAGCACTGCCCCAGCTCGAGCCTCTGCTGGCTCCGCCCCGAGGCCCGCGGGCCCTTTAAGAATCTAGCCTCGGAGGTGGGCCGATGGCAGGACTTGCGGCCTCGCGGGGAGGGTGTGTTCGCCTTCCTTTCTTCCAGTGCAGCGTTTCGAGTTCGAGGACCACCAGATCTTCTGCAGAGGAACATAGTCACCTATCTGAGATCTAATACCTCTTGGAACCGGAATTC